GGCAGTCAGTTCTAAGGTTTTTGGGCATTCCATTGATAAGATTCAATAACATCTGATATTGCATCCTCTTTGCTTTAGCAATAAACTTAATTACGTTTGACAATCAATAACAATTTTAGTTGTTTATATAGTTTTCGAACTAGCACGAATGAAGACGGAATTTATGTATGAAATTTAAAATAAATATGAACAACTATGATATACACAAAACAATTAACAAATATCAGGGTGAGGCGACCTAATCAACTAAAAGAATAAGCTAAATCTCTCATGACATAGTTGTAGTCTTATTTATAAGTTTGAATCTGGACTTTAAAAAATATATATATTATGATCGTAATTAATATTATGATCGAATAATTGCCTTGGGAATGGTAAAATGATAATCATCATCTATTGTCTTGTAAACGATATCTATCATCGCCCTTACAAATATTCCTATTGTATTTAAGGGGTCTTCGGTATCTTGAAATATCATATTGCTCACAACCTTACAATTATAGTTTTATCGTTTAAAAAAATAAAAATTACCATCAAATTTTGTGATAAATTCTACTTGGCAAATTCCTTTGGATCTTTTCTAAATAATTATAAAAACCAAAAATAAAATTACCTAGGGATTTTCCAGTGTCTGCAAAATTTCTTTAGCAATTATTTTCAACAATTATAACTTTGATGATACAATTGTTAGAAATCATACAAGTTGAGATTAAAGTGCGGTTTGAGAGATTGTTGATACATTTGACGATACAATTGTTGGCACAATTGCCTTGGTGGTCTGTTCAGTTGGCAGAGTTCATTTAGTTTTCCTTATGCTATTTTGTTATTATATCAAAATACAGAATAACCACTTTTGAAGAAGTGAAGAACTTAGGGTGCAATTACCTAAAGTTCAATTATCTTTTGTTTAAAACATAGCCATGGAGAGCTTCTGTTTCCTCTAATTTTTTTTTTTCCCAAATTATTGGGATTAACATCTACAATCAACGAATTTTGAAGTGTTAAATCATCTTCATTAGATTTTTGCTACATCATTTGGTCTAGTTGAAGATCAACCATGGTTTTTTTTTTTTTTAGTAATGCTATTTAGTCCAACTAGGGTTAACCACAGTTTATGTGACATTAAATGATATGTGAAATAAATATTTCACCTTTCATTTAGCCTATCATTTAAAAAAAAAGCTGAACCCCAACATTGAGGGCTTCCACCGCCCCATCCCTAGAGTATTGTGGAGGAGGTAAATCGCGGGATGTGTATCAGCAGGCTAGGGTACAAAAACTGCTATACTGGTGCCCACAAAGAGTCAAATTTCATACCTTGTAAGAGGCAGGAATCAAACCCTCACACTGCGGCTGTCAGCTCAACTGAAACTACCTCACTCATGTTCTTTGCACCACTGAGCTATGTCTCGGGGGGCATTTAGCATATCCTTTAGAGTCACTTAAATTGGGGTTATAACCCTAATGGAGCTACATATTATTACTCTTTTTTTTTTTTTCCACTTACAATGACCAAACTGTACAAATTCTTATACTTAAACATCAGCACGAGAATTTAATGGTTGAATCAATTTCCTGCGACAAAAAATTTTGATCCCCGTTGATTAATATGGTTTGTAATAGTGGGAAGATCTCAATTGATGACACTACATGAATTGGATTGGTCATGGGCCTTCAAAGTTTGCACTTACATTTTGTACTTGTCACATAGACGAGCCTAAACTTTGGCTACATTCAAAATTATCGATGTCCTGAGTGTGCCGAAGACAAATTATCATTGCCCCAACCCTTTATCCAAATTCAACCCACTATTAAACCAATTTCGAATTCCATCATGGGGAAAAGACGGGATACTTAAACAAAAGGCATAAAAATTGAACTTTTAAGGCCAAATCTGTAAGGGATTGATTTTAATTTAAATTCGAATATCAAATTGTTGAAACCACGGATAACCACTACATCAATTTTTATGAAATTTGTAAATGAGAAGATAACAAAGTTGAAGAATCGGAAGAAATTTAAAAAAAAAAAAAAACAATCAATTATCGTTTTGAGAATCAAAATATTTCCATTTTGATTGAATTGCTGACTAAAGAAGTCTACAAATTATTAATTGAACGTGATCATAAAAGTGATTCAACCCAAATATTATTATTAATAGTGTGAAGTAATAAAATTGTTAAAGTCATCAACTTTAATATTGCATGTTATGTACAAAGAGACAGATTTAGGCAAGGAATCTTGGTCTAAATTAAAGTAGTGTATGAATTCAAGCTTCTATTTCTTCCATCTGCACGTTAATATACATTACATTCAACAAATTCTTGGAGTCACGGACTGTACTGTTCTGCGAAGAAAATTGCCAAAGAGATTCTTCCAAATTCTCATGGCCAATGAATAGACTTCTTGCAAGCAACTCGACATGTACAAGTCAAACCAGATTTAATTTAATTTTTTTCCTTTTATCATTGTGTATTATCATCAAATAGACTTTGAGAACTTTTCAATTTTTGGAAATAATTAGAGTCAAAATTTCTATATATCATGTAATGATGTAAATAAATAAATAATACAGTTTCTAACCAATAAAGAAAAAAAAAATACCATAATTCAATTGATATATAAGCATTTTATGGTTTCTAAATATTACTTGTCAAAAAGATCGATCATAATTCATCACCGTTACAAGTTGAAGTCGCTTTTCTAGATCCATACCCCATTTAATAGCATTTTATTATTCTAAATATTTGTCAAAAATATCGATCATAATTCATCGCCATTGTAAATTGAAGTCGCCTCTCTAAATTCATGCCCCATTTAATAGTTTAAGCTTTTTAAATGATGTGGTCTATCATGGTATTATAGGAGGAGGAAACATATTTTTTTGAATTGAAGTCTCAATGCTATCATTTTTTAATATCCAACATTAAAGTTCTTTGAAGAATAATTGAATTCAATTTGCTAGTGAGGCAAGGGAATTATTTTAAATACACACGTATGTGTAGTTAAATTCATAATATATTCATATCGTTTTGGCAACTTAATAATAAGCTAATTTTTTTCACTATGGTCGTATTCATAGAAGGAGAACCAACCGTGAGTTATAAGAGTTTTAGCTTAAATCTATGTGATGTAGAAAGTACATGCATGAAGGAGAAACTGCACAACTTTAGGATAGCGTTGTAACGTAACTTTCGAAAAGTTGCTTTCTATTTCTTTTTATTATTTTATTGTTGAATTATATTTACAATTTTGTTGTGTTAATTTTAAAAGTATACACAAATCACTTGTTTTCCCCAATAATCTAAAGTCGTGTGACGTGATTTGCTTATAGATTGGTCATTGGTGTGAACTTCAAATCTAAAAGGCATTTTCTTGATTCAATGTATCTATATGTTTGCGAAAATTATTAGACTTATCATTTGAACAGTAACAAATATTACCTGCTCTCCAAAGGCTTATGAATTACATTCATTTGAACTTTTAGCCAAGTATTAGAGCACTGTTTTTGCTCAAAAATGGTACTGTTCACCATTTTTCATGTATTGGCACACCCCAATAAAATGCAATGGCTGAGAAGGAAAATCAGCAATTGCTAAGTTAGAGCTTTGGTGTTCAATCAAAATGTTCCTAAATAATATTGAAGTGATGAAGTCCTAGGTGATGCATATTTAATCAATCTCTTGCAACCATCTTAATTTCAAAACAGTCATTCAATACCATATTTCATTCTAGAATAAAATTTCAGTATGGCCTCACTGAAAGAAATATCATTAGCAAGGCATGATATTAAAATCAGAGTAATTAACAGAGTTGAATCTTTGCATCACACACACATATATGCTAGGACATCATCTGTTGATATCAAATATTCCATGAAAATCAATAACCAGCCTTTTGCGGTGCATTAAAGAAAGCAAATGTTGGTGTGATTAAACTAAATTGAAATGGATGCTCAAGGGGAACACTAACACTGCAGCAGGTGAAGGTGTCAATGGAACGGAAATTGCTGGCATAATTTCCTCCTATTTGCTTTATATAAAGGTAACAACTGTCTGCGGTATTCATTGACCCTTTCCCTATCAGTAATAGCAATGACATGATCGGTGAGGCTGCCTTGGGAAAAGAAATGTGAAATCCAATCAGCAAAAGAGTCAAAACTAGGGGTGCTGCCCTTGGAACACAGATGATTGGCATCCAAGAAAAAGACCGTCTTCTTTCTTGAAATCTTTTTCTCCGTACTACTTTTCTCTGTGCTTTCTTCGTCACAACTTTCATTCTTTAGTGGATTCTATTGGAAAAAATTGAGTTAGTAGGTGATTTTGGCACGAATTTTGAGAGGGAACCGTTTGACTATTTTGGAAGATGAAAGTTGATTTCTATTCTCCTCCGTGAGTACATCGAAATCATATACTTACGTGTCAAAAATGATACTCGGGTGAATAAGAAATTGAAGTTCAAAGTATGCCATGTGAAAGTAGTT